TCAGGCACATTTTATCTCAATTTTAAACACAGGAATATTTGTTTCAACTCACTTTCTTCTATTTATCTTCTTTTTTTCTTCAATGGTTTTCTTCCATTCCTAAGAAATTGGAGTAACACAGTGTACCTTAATAAATGCCTTTGCCTTGAATCTCTATTTAAAAAAAAGGGGGTGTGTGTGTGATTGAGAGCTCATGACCTAGTTAAGGAGGATATTCTTTGCCATCAGTAGCTAATGGTCACCCAGAAAAAAAGCGGTAAGTTTGATGTTCAGTTGAAATCACCTTAATTTTTAGAAGCTGACAAACAATAGTTTGCATTCTTTGTTTATATTTTCTTCTCATGAAGTTTCTTTTAGTTGGGGAAGGATGCCATTCTTGTTTCAAATTCTGACTTCTAAATACTGAGAGGTCAAATTTGCTCAGATAGGAGGGGAAACAGTCATTTGGAAAAGAAACCATTGCCTTTGAAAGTTTAATGGTTCATGATTTACCAAAGAATGATACCCCAGACTCAAGTATTATGTAAACATAGAATGTTTTATTCTGCAGAAGTCCAGCATGCTAGGATCTCCCATTACCAAGGTAGAGAGACAACCAAGTGAGCTCACAGGCCTGATTTAAAGCACATTAGGGGATTCTGGGGTAGGTGACGTATATCTTGCTCCATCTCTAGGGACATTCCATTACTGGGATGTGGGAGCTGAGGTCTGGAAACTTTGCTGAGGAAGTAGCCGAGGAAGTCTAGAAACTGTTGTATTGTCCTTACCTCAGGCCAGGTAGTGGGGCAGGTTCTGAGGGCAGGGCAGTTTCTGACTAGCTGCCTGAAGCCTGTTTTTTTTTTTTTTTTTTTTTTCCCCTAGTAACTGGCTTGTCTGGGTTTGTCTGGACTTACCCAGTTCTTAATTTGAAGCCTGACATGGAGTCAGGCTAGCCTTCTCAAAAGTATGTTGTGAATTGGCTTACTTTGGGGTAAACACACCAATGAGACAAGATGTGGATTATGACGTTGCCCACTGTTGATGTGACTTGACTGTGAGGCACTTACCACTCCAATGGGAGTAGAGGTGTAGGCCTGTTTCTCTCACTGCCCAAGACTCCTACACTAGAGCAAGTATTTACAGTCCTTAAGAGCATAGAAGAGTGACCGAATCCTTACCAAGTTATCTTTACGTATCTTTACCTTTTTTGAAAGCAGAGGACAAAAAGGTTATAAAATGTTTTCAGTGTATCTAGTCGTTTATGTTGTTAAATGATTAAGGCAATTTCTTAAATGGCTTATGACACTGTCATTCAATAAATTTATACATTTCAAGACAGTTTCTGATTATCTTTAATAGTCCAAGGTCTGAAGATGTAGCTCAGTGGGGAATCCTTGTCTGTCATTCATGAAGCCTTGGGTTTGATCCCTAATACTATACAACCATATTCATAACTGTTAGAAAATTCTGAACAATGCAGGCCTGCGAGCTCACTTGGTTGTCTCTATCTTGGTAACGGGAGACCCTAGCATGCTGGACTTCTGCAGAATAAAACACTCTGTGTTAACATTGATGTGTCAGCCAGCTAACACACTTAAGTTTCAACTCCATCCTGACACATAGGTCATGACAGCACCTGAATGAGAAGGGACTGTTCCCAGTTGTGGCTGCCTCATTGAGCTCTTTTCAAATTGGAAGCTTGCTGCTTCATTGAATAACTGCCCCTGTTTTCCCTTAGCTCATTATCCAGGTGTCTAAGCTCTCAGTAGTAAGTCTTAACCATTTACTCTATGAACACAAAGGTGTACTTTCTCAACTTTAAGGGCTCGATAAATAGTTCCTCCATCCCATTTTGATTAGCTAGACACTTGTATTTTAGTTTTAGATTATTTTATGTGTATGAGTGTTTTGCCTGCACAAGTACACGCATGCCTAGTGCCCATGGAGGATTTCCTGAAACTGGAGTTATGGATGGTTGTAAGCCATAATATTGGTGCTAGGAACTGAGCCCTCAGCAAGAACAGCCAGAGCTCTTAACCTCTAAACCACCTCTCCAGCCCCTCAGGATATTCTTAATGACCTCTGTTAAGATCTCTTATATATCCCACTGATGCTTTTTTTTTTTCTGTCTTGAGAGAATATCTGTGACGACAAGGGACCAAGCAGTTTTCACTGAATTACCATCTTCCAGAGGTCTTAGAGCCAACTTTGTTTGCTCTTTTTCTAAATTAATATAGAATAGTGGTTTAACTCTCTTTATTTAATGATAGCCTAAATGGGAAAGGTAGTCTGCATTAGGAGTGCAGGGACAGTAGAGTGTCAGAGAGAGGGGATGACAGGGGATGGAAAATGAGCAGGAAACTGACATACAGAAACCATCTTCCTTACCCCAGTGTGGTAGAAGCAGTACAGAGTCCATGTTGACACAAGGTCCTGTGCCTAGTCACCCTGCTGGGCTGCAGCATGGTCCCTCTGTCCCTTTGTATCTCTTGCACTGAGGCCACATTTGCTTTCACCCCACTTCTCTTAATGGCAAACCCCTTTAAATTTTTTAACGTGCTTGCCACAGATGCCTCCATTACTTTTATTTTTTGGACCTTTGGCTGTCATTTAACTCCAAGTCAATCCGAACGTCCCACTAGTCGGCCAGCACACGTGCATTTTACTAGGTCAGCATCTGCTAGACTCAATGTCATGGCATCCACCGACCTACAAATGCTGTGCTCATCGACGAAGTCCTGAGCTGCGGCAAGGCGTCTTCATATGTAAAGGAAGCTAACAAGAGGAAGTTTGCTGCTAGGAACAATCGTAGAAATGGCCATGAGCCTGAAGATCTGGGGAGGTGTTATGTGAAGAATGGCATTCCTTCTAACAGTTATTTTGGGAGGATTTCCTCAGGGAGGTGCCTTATCCTTATACACTGCTCTCACCACACAGCAGAAACTGGCTGGTGTCACTGCAGTCAGGTGCTGGCTTCCACTTCGGGCTTTGTTTTCACAGGAGCCTATCAATAGTGCTCATCGAGATATTTCTGTTCTCCAGTGCCCTTTAGTTCCCCTAATGTTTGGTTCTCGTACTGTTGAAAGACTAAAAGCATTGGTAAATCCAGCCAATGTAACCTCCAAATCTATGAAGGCATGATGCGCAGCTCACGTCAGCAGGAAATGATGGATGTCAAGCATTTCATTGATGAGCCCCGACCTCCAATTGGTTGATGTCACTAAGAGGCCTTGAGTAGAAGCTCACCAGAATCATTGTAGACCATAAACCTTTTCCCATGACTGATCATAAAACTTCTAATGTTTGCATTGTAAAAATGCATACCAATGATACAGACTAAATGATGTCTCCCTTGGGAAATGTATGAACCTTTTAAGTTTCTATGCATATATTTGTATTATACCATTCAGAATATACTAGTATTATAGTAAGTAAGTGAAGCAACCAGCTTCTTTGTCTCAAATTAATTCAGCAAAATAAGATAACACCAGCAGAGTTTTATTACAGCATTTGAAAATTACTGGTATGCTCTCTGAAAATGTGTTCAGGCCTAAACAAGCTGTAAAGATGTGACTTCTTAATTCTGTGAGTTAGACTATAGTTTTACTCCATGATTGTTCAGTCACCATGCCGTGCCAGTATTTTTATGTTTGTATTCATATATACGTGACTGTAATGCCTAAGAAACTAATCAGATGATATTACATTATCCCTAATAATAGGGGTAATGCTTTTAAGTGTCAAAAAGTAATACTACTCTCTTTAATTAATGGCCCTTCTATTGGGGAACCATGCTTTTTTTTCCCCTTCTATATAACTTTTCTCCTTTCAAGAAAAAAAATTGGTAGTTTTATGATTTTCCATGGAAAACTACTATTGCCTCTCTGTCATAAAAAAACAATCTGTCACTATATTATTTTGACATTTTGAAACACAGACATACAGTATTTCCAATCTAGGTAATGTGAAAAGAAACCAAACATTATTTAAGCTTACATATTTCATATAACTGCACCTCAATCCAACTTTAGGCTGTAGAGTTATCAGAATCTTCAGTCCTGGTAATAATTCTGTGGTTTTATTTTTATGTAAAAAACTTAAAGGGTAAATAATATCTTGGCATGTTTAGAAATACTTGTGACTGGTTTTAAAATATTTCTTAAACATCTTATAGCAGATTTTAAGTTTACATTTTCTGTACATGTTATGCTTAAAACCAAATACTGTTCAAGATGAACAATCAGACTTTTGTTTTATTTTTACATACTAATTTGAAATTTTCATCTTAAGTAAAGGAACTTTTGATAATCATTCTTCTGTACACACATTAAAATAACAATTATTTGATTTTAAGTCATCAACACGTTCAAAATACTGGTGAAAATTATTTAATTTATAGGTAATAAGGACTGGTTAGAACCCACATATATAAAACCCATATTTATAACTGTTACCACATAGTTGAATATGTTGCAGAAATTATGGCTATTTCTGAACAGTTGCTTTTCCCGCTGTTTTCCATCTGACCAAGAAGAAGCATCTTTATAACGGGTGCTGACTGATACGGAGATCACTGTGGTATGTCCTGGATAGAACGCTAACAGTGAAGCCAAATGTTTATGTCTGGATTTCAAACATTTTCAAACAGTCATTTACTATTTTGCTTTACTTTGACAAACATAAATTTGCTTCAGTTATTCTATCTGTGAAGATTTATTTGGGATAAGAAATATTCCATTGAATTTGTGTGCTGTAATGTGGGAAAATGTTATGTTTTTCACAGTTTCTATCAATGTGAAATAAAATTTAATTTTGGCTTTAAAAAAAAAAAACACACAGTGGCCGGGCAGTGGTGGCACACACCTTTAATCCCAGCACTTGGGAGGCAGAGGCAGGCGGATTTCTGAGTTCAAGGCCAGCCTGGTCTACAGAGTGAGTTCCAGGACAGCCAGAGCTACACAGAGAAACCCTGTCTCGAAAAATCAAAAACCAAACCAAAACAAAAAACCACACACAGTAAGCCAGAGTACATGAAGTAATTTATTGATATTGGTTAAGATCCATTATATACAGGTAGAAACCATCAAAATTGTACAAAGAACCATTAAGAATATAGATACCATTTTATAGACAAAACAACTGGAAAATATTTTAAACAGACAATATATAATTATGAAAAAAGGAGAACACAAATTGTTCTACCAGACAGATTTCAGGCTTTTTAAAAGTCTGCTGTGCAGATCTTAAGTTGAAAAAAAATCTGTTTAATGTAGTCACGGGGTTTTAAAAACATTAGGTATAAGATAAAAATGAAGTCTTTTCCTCTCACGGTAAAAGAGAGAGGAACCAAGATAATTTTACCATGAATCTATACAGTTTGAAAAATAATTTATATATCAAGCACAAAGAAAATTGAGGCTGCAAATGGTTCTGTAAACTAGGTATTTATGAAATGCAAATTGTGTCAGTTTTAAAAATTAGAAGTTGGACAGCCAGTAATGGACTATTCCCTTTACAGTACCACCACACCTCCACAGGCTTACCACCTGAGCTCCAAAGCTGAAGGTCTGTGTGCTGTCCAGGCAAGCTATCCTGAAAGTAATCAAGAAATTAAAACTAGCCTACTATCATCAGAAAATTAGGCACCAAGTTGGAGACTGTCTCCTCAGGAATGCAACCTCAGTGAGAGCAGAGCACTCAGTTAAGCAGCTGACAGATCTCCTTGTGAACACAGCAGAGGAAATCCACATAAGATGATCCTCCATAGAGTCCTTTATCTTCCACCAGGAACTGTCGGAAAGCCATCTCCCGCTGCTCTCGCTGTTTCACTATGATGAGCTAGGAAACCCGACAACAGCAGGTTAGAAACAGATTCGTGGGGAAGGTGCAGCTATCTCATTGTTTCAATCCCACCAAACATGGAGAAGTGTGGGGCCTGGGTGATGTGAGCATGCCTGTTTCTGTGGGTTTTTAAAAGGTGTGTGTGTGTGTGTGTGTGTGTGTGTGTGTGTGTGTGTGTGTGTGGTTTACAGGCAGTTATAAATCACCCGATATGGGTACTGGGAACAGAATTCAGTCTTCTGAAAAAGCAGTGTGTGCCATCTTACCAGCTCCATGCCTGTTACTTGGGAGACGAGAGAGACACTAACATTTAAACCCCAAAGACAATTTTAAGTGTCAAATTAACATGAAAATTTATCATAAGTAAATGCTATGGGAAAAAAAGCTTCTCACTGGCAGTCACTGTCACCTAAGTCTCAAAGGACAGGGTAGGTCAGAGAACATTCCATACTGGTACACAGTGTGCTGTATAGCAAAGAGACAGAGACAGCCCTACTACAGACATTTAAAAGGGTGGTAAGGGATTAGAGACAATCACCATAATAATGAGTTTGGGCCCTTTGCAGGACACAAGATGTGGGTCCACAGGAGGATGTGGGAGCCAACAAGTAGCAGTAGGTACATTAGTGAGAAGAAGGTAACTAGACATGGAGTGACCGCAAGTCTAGGTGGGTGGTGGCCAGAATATGAATAAGGGATAGAGATGAAACGGAGTATATATGAGAAAGAAACTAAATCACTCACTAAATTCACTGCTGAACCTCCCAGACAGGTAGTAATACACCTTGAGATCACTTCAGATTGCTATCCTGGTGTGCAATCAACCTGTCGTTTAAATAGCTGTTAAGAGAACAGGTAACAGCCAAGTCTGCCTTGGGTTTTCCATGTAATCAACTTTTACAAACTAAGGTACTGCCTAGCTGTACTTTTCATGTCTCTCACCTATGAGTAATGCATGTGTGCTTCACGTTATAAAATAATATGCTGAGACTTGCAAACAGGCTAAAAGCAGTCTTAAGATAGCTATCATGAATGTTGACAGCAACATATGGATACTGCTTGACAAACAATGTTAGTGATACTGTCATCACTGGGGTGAGTTGGAGTCAAGACTTAATTCCTTGTAAAACTCTACTGAAGACGCCCTCATTCCTTCCCCATGTGACACTTTCTGTGCTGTCAATAAAGAGAGAGGAAAGGTCTTTATTAGATAGGTACATACACAGAGCCAGGGACAGACAGATTCACAAGATCGCCTTCGGGCAGGTTGAGTCAGGCTCATACAGCAGACAGACAGGAGATGATGGAAGACATAGAAGAAGAATTCAGATCTGGGCTCATTAAGTGACACCAGGTGCTTTGTTAATTTTTTTTTTTTCCTTACGGCATTCCAACCAAGCACATTTTGGTGTCCCAAGTAAAGTATGTCTACTAAGTGAAATCTACATAGCAAAAGAGAAAGAGTCAGCACAGACTTCTCTGGAAGCCTGGTAGATAAAACTGATGCCTGCTGTGACCCACTTGCTCCAGAATGAAAGAAAAGAAAGGGAAGGGAATCCCAGAGACGAAGCTGCCTTATGAAAGAAGAGTTACTGGTTGTGGTGAAGAAGTGTAAGTGGGGAGGAACTCAGGGCAGGTAACGGGAAGGGACCTAACTAAACACAGGGACAGACACAGAGCCGGGAGAGCGGGGACTAAAAGAGAAGCATTTTCTGGGAACACACGATAGAGTGCCATGCAGCTGCCTCTGTGGAACTGGCATTGCTGAGTCCCTACTGTGGCCCTGGCCTTGTGTCTGTCCTGAGACAGCTGTGGGATGCTGACTAAATTAGCTGGCTCCTTCACCAGTTTGTAAAATGGGGAGGGGCATGGAAATGAAAGGATCAAGTGGAACGGGTAGACCATCATTCCTTACGGCTGTGACTTCTGTAGGTTTAATATGCTTCAGTCTGTTTATAGAGATATCACCCTGGGAAAGTCAGAGCAATCTAAAAGTACCAGTAGATGCATTTCCACGTAATACATCTGATAACTACTCCAGCTGCTTACGTTCTGGTCACACATCGGAATAAAGTTTACCCCTAGCTATTTATTTTATAACCAGTGTTGAAATGGCTTTAACTCAAGGGTTATTAGAGTAAGGGAGGAAAAGCAAAGGAGAGAAAAGCCTGGTTTTCCTTGGTAGGAGGGGTCATAAGGCACAGGATAACCTCCATGGCCTGACTCAGCTCTTCCTTGCCAATGGGCATGTGTAGGGTTATAGCCTCCACAGCTGTGATGAAGGAGACCACCATCACTTGATTAATCATGAGATATAACTATGAACATGCATTAAAAGGTTTCTGAAGAAATAACACTTGAAGGAAGAGGGGAAATTTTCATTTTACCTTCATTGAGTATGGCTTCTTTTGCTGGATGTTATTCATTATCATTCTGAGTTGTTGAGAGTGCGGACTTCCCACCTCTGGCAGCGATGTCTAAATGTAAGAGCACCACAATTTCAGTACAACGTGAGACACTTAGAACAGAAGCAGCAATATGAGACCACCAGAGTGTAGGTGGCATCCCTCATGTACCATATAGACTGCGTACTGGCTCAGTTCATTTACCTGAAAACTGAAAACGTGGGAAGCTAAACTATAAACCACTCATTTTATCAGCATACATTTCCACCGATGAACCAGTTAGCTCTTTCAGAAACAAAGGTCATGGCTGCAGTGTATTTTAGGAAGAGGGTATCTTCAGACCATCTCTCAGGAAGGTGATTAAGCTCTTTCAATGCCATATTGGGAGAGAAAAGAATGTCCCTTTCCCTTTTTTACCAAATTCTACAGCGTTCCCACATTAAAGTAACCATGAGGGCTGATTCCTTGTGGAGATTCTGCCTTTTTTTATTTCCATGACATCTGTGTAGCTTGTAAAACAGCACAGTTGCACTTGGAGTTCTTTCAGGTAAGACAGACAGGATGCTAACGCTGCCACCTTCTCAGTGAGAAGATACCAAGATGCAGTCAACACTCTGCCTGTGAGTTAGCCACCAGGGAGGTGAGGAAGCACCCCATACAGTAAAGCTTCAAGTCTTGGGGGAAATCACAGCCAATGTATTTCATAGTTCTGAGGAGGCAGAATATTCATCACTAATGCTCACACTCCATCCCTTGTGTATATTTTATGGTGTTACGGTGAATCATTTTATTCAAGATATAACATTAAGTATATAACACATATCCCAGAGTACCAAGTGAGTCTAAAAGTAAAGTAACCCTATTTGGGTCTTAGTTTTGTTTCATTTTTGGAAAGCTGGTGAGGAGGTATGCTAACACAAGCCCAGGCCCAGGATTCTTGCCCTATGGCTGAGAGACCCATGGTCTCATGTGTACTGAGGGCTTACAAGGATGTCTGTGCCAATGTTAGCTCTGACATTAGTGCTGAGTTTCCTAAGATATTTTGAAAACAGATATGTGTATTCACTTCTTTATCAACACACAATTTCTTTTGTCATGACTAACAGAAGAAAAGGGTTTAGGGTAGGGCTGGGGACACAATCTGTTTTGTGTGGTTTTTATTTTGTGCCTCATTAATCTTAGCATGTAGCAAAATACCTATGAAGGATTCTGAATGTTCTCCAATGGGCAGTTCATCAGCAAGGATGAAGAAATGAGTTGAAAACTAAATGCAGGCTCTACTCCTGGCCTCACCTCCAGAAGAACCTGCCTCTGGCTTCACTAGTTCATCTGGAGCACAGTGCTGCAGTAGCAACCTCACTGATGTATCAGGAAAAGGAAGCAGAGTGGTGGGCCTAAACTGCATACAGAGAACAGCCACTGGTGAACAACAGTGTGTGTGTGTGTCTGTGTGTGTGTTCATGTGTGTGTGTCTGTGTTCATGTGTGTCTGTATGTGTGTGAGTGTTTGTGTGTCTGTGTATGTTCGTGTGTGTGTCTGTGTGTTCATATGTGTATCTCTGTGTGTGTTCCTGTGTGTATGTTC